TTGGAACAACTAATTTTGTACTTAATGCACTTTGTGAGGAAGTAGTGCTACAGTCCAACTAAAGATATACTGAAGTATATTTGATTGCGCTAAAGTGGAACTATTGCAAGTATACTTTAGGAATACTTTAAATATCTTGCATTTAAAGACCAGTATTATTCAAAGATCATAAAATCCTCATCAGTAGTGACATTAAAACACATTTTAGGTATAATATTAAGAAAAGTACATTGTGCACAAGTAGTACTCCAAATAAACTTATTTTTATAAAAAAAAATTATATTTCTCAAGTGATATGGCAGTAAATATGATAATAGATTTGAACTATACTTGGTATGAAATAAATGCATTTTAAATATAATACTTTTTTTTAAATACAGTAAAAACAGTAATATTATGAAATATTATTGCAACATAAAATAACTATTTTCTATTTTAATATATTTTAAAATGTAATTTATTCCTGTGATGGCAAAGCTGAATTTCAGCTTCATTTCTTATGACTGACAATTTTTCATAAAAATACTAAACAGTTGGACTGTTTAATATTTTTATGAAAACCACAACACATTTTTTTCATGAATTCTTTGATAAATAGAAAGTGTAAAAAAGCAGCATTTATTTTTTTAACATTATATATGTCTTTACTGTCACTTTTGACCATTGACCAGTTTAATGCACTGTTGCTGAATAAAACTATTAGTTTCTTTAAAATAAAATATAATAAAATAAATCTTACTGACCCCAAATGTATCAATGAAATTTTACACACACACACACACACACACACACACACACACACACACACACACACACGTGATTGTTTTTATGGTTTATGAGGACTCTCCATAGGCGTAATGGTTTTTATACTGTACAAACCGTATTTTCTATTGCCCTACACCAACCCTACACCTAAACCTACCCCTTACAGGAAACTTTCTGCATTTTTAGATTTTCAAAAAAACTCATTCTGAATTATTTATAAGCCTTTTGAATTACGGGGACACTGAAAATGTCCTCATAAATCACCTTCTCGTTGTAATACCTGTGTCATACCCATGTTATTATACAAATTTGTGTCCTCATAAACCACATAAACATGCACACACACACACACACTACCATTCAAAAGTTTGGGGTCAGTAATATTTTCCGTAATATGTAATGCAAAATAGTTTAATTGTTTGGACATTTTTTCATGAAACTTACGTTTGTACACTCCACACACCTGTTTTTTTTCTTCTGTTGACAGTGTTTAACTGTTCTGCAACGTCTGTGGCAAACCTTGGAATTGTTTCCTGTCTGCTGTGGATGATAAAATGTGGGAAACTGTGCTTGAAGGATATGAAAACTCACAAGGTAATTACATTTGCACTTTAATCTTCAGCATTTAAAAAAACTGTTTAGCAGTAGAAATGTTGACATAGTGTCAGTGAGTCACTTCTGTTTGACATCTGAAATTACAGAAAGATAATAACTGAGCACTTAACAATAAAAAAAGTTAAGTTAAATATGTAAATAATAAATAAATGATTAACTATGAGGTTTTATTAAAAAAAATCTATATGGCCTTTAAATAAGCCTTGTTTTGGTTCTGTCCCTTCCACGCGATCTGTAAATGTCTGTGTGAATTTTTCCATTGGTTTATGAATTTATGTTTGCGTTTCACGCCTGCCAAAGTATTTACATTTTCTGCCGAAGCAGTAGCCAGGGCTTTATCTTTTCAAACAAAGAGCTGCTTTCCTTCCCCTTCTCTTCAACTCCTATTCAAAAGGACCATTAATACCAAAACCAATGAGGGAAGGGCAGTATAACCACAACACAGCTCCTATTCAACTTCTTTATTTACTGGCACTCAATCAAAATAAGTTCCCAAAGTGCCTGCACAGGTAAACAGATCACTTAAGCTGTCTGATGAAGTTAACCTCTGTAACATGGCTTACTGATTCTGGGTAAGAAAACAAGGCTGCTGTAATTGTTGTTGTCAGGCCTGGCTTGAGTCCTCTGTATATTTAATAGCAGAGCTTTATGGCAAACCATTTGTGGTCTTCTATTCAGTTAGAGGAGGTTAACAGCAGGCCCAAACCTTAACTGTTGTTACTTTGATTGCAAAAGCAAATAATTTGTATTCTTTTTAACGTTAATAGCAGCTAAAACATGTTTAATTTACTTGTTTGTTTGTTTGGATTATAAAAGCAAATGAGTTGTATTACTTTCAAACTTAAACATTTTTAATGTATTTATTTGTCTGTTTTGATTATAAAAGAAAATTCTGTTCAAACTTAAGAGCAGCTAAAATGTTTGTTTGTGTTCTGTTTGTTTGTTTGGTAGGTTGGCTGTTTTCTATTTGTTTGTTTGTTTTACAGAAACAAATGAGTTGTATTCATTTCAAACTTAAGGGCAGCTAAACATTTGAATTCATTATTTTTCACTTGTTTTTTGTTTTGTTTGTTTAAATGTTTGATTTACAAAAGCAATACATTTTATTCCTTTTAACCTTAAGACAAGTTAAGCATTTACTTATTTATTTTGGTTACAAAGCAAATTAATTGTATTCCTGTAAGTCTTAAAATCAGCTTATTTATTTATTTATTAATTTATTTCTTTTTTTTTATTAATCACTTTATTTATTTACTTTTAACCCAAATTGTAAAACAAATGCAATACACCACATTTTTAAATGTTTGCACGCGACAGTCTGATAAGTTTTTCCATCAACTGTCACATAATTCCATAATTGGAACACACCGTTGTTGAGAATATTTTTTTTTCCTCATAGGTTTTTTCCAGTTCCTGATTTTTGGATGGATGTCATGAAATTAAACAAAGTATTTCATTTCATATACCCTAGTCCCTTGACCTAAACAGCATAGTGTAATGTCATAGTCAGTGAAGGGTATGACTATTCTCTGCATATATACCCCATTTAGATAAATAGGCATCTTAGAAGCATGTGAAGTTCATGCTGCTGTTATTGAAGCAAAAAAAAGGGACAAACCTAATACTAAGACATTCAGAAATTCATCTTCAAATATTATTTTTATAAGGATAGTTCACCCAAATATGAAAATTCTGTCAGTATTTACTCATCCTCATATCGTTCCAAAACTGTAAGCGTTTGCACCAAACTATGGAAGCATCAAAAACTATGGAAGTCAATGGCTACCGTCAACAGTTTGGTTAACTAGACTTTCAGACTGCACTGTATAAGCATCTGGAGTATTATCCTGCATTTGCATGTTCACTCTTAAAAAAAATAATGGTTCTTTATTGGCGTCATGGTTCCATGAAAAACCTTTAACATCCAAGGAAACTTTCCATTGTACCAAAGATTCTGTATAGTGGATAAATGTTTTTTGATCATTAAATTGTTCTTGACGAGAGAAAAAAAGGTTTTGAAATATTCTTTGGGGAGTCCAAAATTATTATTGATGTTGATAGGAATATTAGTTTATGATGGAATCAGCTGCTCCGTTCTATGTTTTTCATTCCCAAGCATTGCTTGCTTGTATTTTACATTAAATGGATGTTACATTTAAACTAAAACCAGATTTCAATACAAAACATGAACACTATAGCTTAACAGTATGTTCAGAAATAGCAAAAATATAAGGTTATTAATACTGCTTTTCATTCTGACTGTACACAAAGCTTCAACATGAGGTACTTGTTTATTGGCACAGCAATAGAAGTATTCAGATTAAACTAACTGACAAAAGTGTCTTGCTATAGATCAAATCTTTGGAGAGCCAAATAAATATATTCACATTTACAAAACCACAGGGAGTGTACAATATATATATTTCAATGGTTATTTAGATGAAAAAGAATGATTATACATGGCTTTTTGTACAAGTGCCTCAGGTAATTGCTCAAAAACATTCCATTTACATGGAAATTTAACATGATACAAACCTGAAACAAAATAGTAACCGTTTTTTTTTTTCAGCACGACACTTAATTTGATCATATACAGCTGTGGGTTTTTTTTCCTCAGGAAAGCCCTACAGCTAACAGGATCCCTCAACAGCAAGATCCTGATCATTATTGCACATGTAAGGGAATTCCCCTTCAAAAGAGCTACTTGCATTGGTGTGATGTTAACAGAGATGGAAGATATACAAATTGTGTTAAATGCTTGCTAAGGACATGACAGCAATCAACAACAAAAAAGATAATTAAATGACATTGTGCAAAATCAAGCAAACCATACTTTTACACGCTTTCAGGCCTTTTTAACTTCTAAACCACTTTGAATTACTTCTAGTGGTCACTGACATATCTCAAACAGGTTCAAGGCTCTTCCAAAATAACCTTTATGATAAGCACTTTATGATAAATGCAATTATGTGTTTTAAAGGCATTGGATGTAAACTAATGCGGAAGCCATTTACCCTAAAAACTAAATATGCTTTTAAGGACCCTAAATCTTGACTTCATAACAAATGATAGATAGCTTAAGAGTTTATAAATAATCAACAATTAAAGTGCTATTTCAACCCCCCCATATTGGCTATATATTCTTTTTTTTTTCTGGCCAAAATATATTTCAGATATAATTAAAACATATGCTAAATACTGTATAGGTTTACAGGCCTAAGGAAATATATTTTTTGCCAAACTGTAGTACAAAATGTACTTCAAGAACAAAAAAATACATTTTTAAATGTAATTTTAAAAAGGATTTTGAGTAAATGCAAAACCTTTTTTTTGTAGCTATTTAGATCAATGTAAGTAAATAAATTTAGACTCAATATTTATAAAGAGGCCAAAAATATATGATGAAATAGTTAACTAAAACAACAACCAAAAAATCTTTTGAAATGTTTTTAAAATATATCTGAAAAAGTATTTTTAGCCATTTGGATGAGGTCATCATGTTTACTGTGAATAAGTGTTAATATTAACCGTTAATAACATTATTAATATGTCGTGGATGGTGAATTTTGTATAAAGTCAGACTTAGGATCCCTAAACTGAGGATGTTATGCCCAAAAATATGTGATTCTTGCAGACGATTTTATAGAGGTCATCAGAACTGATCCAAAACACAAAAAAAGCAAAACAGAATTAATTACAGTTTCAATCCACACAACCAAAAGACATTTCTATGTGCACATTAACTCAAGAGCAGTCTGTGTATGTTGTAACCATGTTGCCCATTCGCTGTGTGACAGTCCTACAGTGCTGCCTGCTGGAACCGTGAAACTTGCTTTGAGTCCGAGTCTGGTGTCCATTAAAAAAGAACATCCTCTCCATATCCTCAAACATATCATCAAACTTGTCACCACCAAAAGAGTGCTGGAAGTGCCTCCTGTGCCTGCTGCGTGCTTCTTCGTGGGCCTGAAAGTGCCTCTCGAAATGTCTTTTATTATGCAAATGAGGACTGTGTCCAAACTTGTCAGAGCCTCCGAATATATCATCAAAGTTGAAGCTAAAATGTTGATGGAAGTGGTCACCGCCTCCTCTCGGACTCTCTCTGGAGAATGGACTGCTCCTCATCTGATCGTACTCCTTTCTCCGATTGTCATCTGATAATGTTTCATATGCTGGGAATGAAAAATACATAGCTTTAAGAACTGATCAACACATAAAATGTTCAGAAGGGTGTGTCGTGTGTTGTTTTACACAGGTATGCTAACTCACCCTCAGCGATCTCTCTGAACTTTGCCTCTGCGTCAGGGCTTTTGTTTTTATCAGGGTGATACCTCATGGCTAATTTATGGAAAGCCTTTTTGATCTGCCGGTCAGATGCATCTTTGGGTACATCCAGGATCTCGTAGTAGTCTTTCTCGGCCAGAATGATGAGTAATTTCTCGGTGATGAGCAGAATGCTCACAGCCAAAGTGAATGCTGACTGAGCTGTTGCCATGCCTGTGGTCAGACCTGTCAACAGGAAACAAGAGGCGAGATCACAGTTCATTTGTTGGTTTTGTGTCACGAGACAATTGAAAGGAGTATTCAGTGTAATAATAATAATAATAATAATTATATATATATATATATAGTGTGTGTGTGTGTATACATAAGCATAAATTATAATGTGTAGTCCATCTGTATATGTACTGTATTTCTTTTTATGACATGCAAATATTTTTTAACATTTGAATCAGCATAAATGGTATCATAATGTATAAAAAACTTAATCATTCTAATTTATTATTGTTTGCTTGACTGTAATGAGAATAGCTGTAAATGTGCCACAATTAATCCTAAAATTTGCTTGTGAGTTTGACGTGCCTAAAAAGAGATGCAGATATATTTTGAATTGTTGTCAACTATAAATAGTAATAAAAAAGAGCTTCATTTTCTTGAAGCAATATATAATTTCCTATTGCTTTTGATTTATGATCTGGACATGTTCTTGACAGTTTCAAACCGAGTTATGTTTTTACCTGTTTAACATTATCCTCATCCTCAAAACATGCGACAGAACAGAATGATTCTCTAACATATCTAAACAGCTATATGTATCAGATATAAAGTAAAACATTTTAGATATAGTAAAACTGCTGGTTTTTATTTACCCGCTGCTGGTTTCCGTCCCAAAGTTACATCAAACGAAGAACAGCTGATCGTTTTTCTGAGCGCTGTGACAGCGCTAAAGTTACTTCTCCACGACTCGCAACGCGATTGGCTGACTCCCGCGATTAATGACTATGAGCGTTTTGATTGGTCCACATCGCCCGAACGTCACTTCCTGTTTCTGTAGCGGGAGTGAGCTGTCAAACTGTTGAAGGACCGCACTCAAAGGACAATAAAAGTTGTTTTTGTCCGTAAGACATCATTATGCCTGTTTTAAAAGTATATTTGTAAACCAGTTTTAGGGGCCGTTCAAATACAGCGTCTTTTGCGCGCTCAAGTTCGTTATTTCGAATGTAGACGCGCGGCAGGCGCGCGCTCATAATGGAAGCGACGCGCTCATTTTTTCCAGGCGCGTCCGCGCCGCATCGAGATAAAAACATTTCAACTTTTCAGAATGCCGCAAGCGCACCGCGAGTCATGTGACAAGAACCAACCAATCAGCTTCATCCTTTCCTGTAACTACATTGAAAGCTCAAGCCAAGATGAAGGAACAGCTGATCATAGCTGTACAGGGATAGCCATTTTTAAATAAAGTTAGTAGCAGAGCTACTAAGCGGCGCGACATGTGAACAGCCCCTTATGCGTCTGAAATATAAGATTTTCTTAAAGTACATACATTTTTAAAGTTATAAATAAGATAAGGAGTTTGTATGTTCATTTAGTTTAATTTTGTTTAATCTGAAATTTCCATAACATCTCTCTCTCTCTCTCTCTCCAAGCCATCAAGCCCACCTTGGAAAAAACAGGTGAGATTCTTAAAGCAGACTGAGCCTGCAAAAGAGGCACAAGGTGTTTTGCCAATCATGATTACTCGTATTGCCTCATGTCCTGCTGAATTTTTTTCCTGCAGAGAATTTGCTTTCAGTGACCATATAAGAAACTGACAGCATCCCAGACATTCCCGTTATGGAGACATGGACAAAGCTCAACTGTGGGCTGAGACTGCAAGTCTCCTTGCCAAAATAATGGCATTAAAAAAACAATAGGAATGTAGATCACGTCTGTAG